TGATGGTCTGTGATGTTCACGTTCAGTAGAAAGCAGTTCCTTGAATCTCTTTTGTAGAAGAAAGATGAACAGGACCCTCGATCAGCACACATTACAGCACAAGATACTTCGGATATAATTATCTTATCTGGGGTGACACCCGAATACATTTGATCAGAAAGTACAAGTTGAAAACTGAAGAGAACAAATTCACAACTAGAAGCCATGACGTACTGATGAAAATGATGGTTGAATGCAACAGTGAAGAATGGTGATGAAATATTTAAGATGTTTCTTGGATATTACAAATCGATGCTTCCAGTGGCGCTGTCAACAAATCGTGGATGCTTTATTCTTACAATTCGCATGTCGTTGGCAGTTTGGTTTGACTCTCGTTTGTGCAAGTATTTGTGACCTTTCCAAGGGAAGAGGGAGTGAGTGAGTGTGATTTTACGCCGTGATTTTATTCCAGCAATATCACTGCTCCTCGCATTATACCCATGTCAAGAATCGAACCCGGCCCTTGAGCGTGACGAGCGAACACTTTTACCACTGGGCTAACACCACACCCCACACCCACCCACCACACACACACACACACACACACACAAGGCAAGAACCTTACACAGGTCGTCGACGTTTACAATCACCAAGAGAGTCATTCTGACAGTCCAAGGATCATTATTTTGACAGCTTGCACAGAGCGACGTTTCGGTGTAGATGGTAACGGCGTCAGAATCTACACTTAAACGTTCTTCATACCATCAGTCATTGGTTTGCTTGAACTAGAATCGTTTAATCACAGGCTACTGCGTAACGTTATTTTGCGTAAAACAATAATAATAATATCCAAGACATAATAATAATAAGTGCATTTATAATATGGCTGGGACGGGTCCATATTTTCTTCCCGGGTATTACCCCATATTACCCTACCCTACCCGGATACTCGTTATGTTAATTTCTGATATCAAATTTGCAAGAAATGGCAAATTATTCTTCAGCTTGGAGGCTAAAATTTCGACTTTTCAATATCTTACTCATGTATGATATTCAAAAGAAGTGACTGTTAATTATGTCTAAATCTTCAAAGACAATACAACCTTTAAATCACGAAAGAATAACACATTATATTCGTTAATGTATTAGTCACATGATCATAACGGATCTCGGTATTGAGACGGGTACCCGGGTCCAACTCATTACCCACCCGTCCCGAGTGTCCGGTTACCCGTCCCAGCCCTAATATATAATGAGCTAAACTCCATTCACTAGGTGAATAGACCGCCTCCGTGGTGTAGTGGTTAGAGCGTCCGCCCGGAGAGCAGAAGGTCGCGGGTTCGATCCCCGACCGCGTCATACCAAAAGACGTTACAATATGGTACTTGTTGGTCCCTGCCTGGCGCTCGGCATTAATGGGTACAACAAGGACTGGTCGGCTCGGAGTCAGTATAATGTGTCTGAGTGGGGTATTCATGCTTCACTGCGGCATGGTATCTCAGTGGGCTAGCACTATAAAACCAGCTTAAGTCTGGGCTAGTACATGCAGCCGCACATACACATACACACGCATGCACGTCGTCATATGAGTGAAATATTCTCAAGCACGACGTAAAAAACCCAATTTCACCTCACCTCACCTCACTAGGTGAATGCTCATAGCGCTAACAATCAAAGCACAGCCCAGTATCACCCGGACAACCCAAGCTGCCTGTGAGGCACAAGAAGATTACTAGTCACATTACTTTTCTCACGGAGTACACGTATCACATGTGCTTCGTTGTGTTTGCAGTGGTGTACTTGTTATGTCGACCCAGTCGCGATGCTTGTTATGTGCGACAATACGACAAACCAACCAGAACGCGCGTTATATTGCTGGAAAAGCTACACGTATCACATGTAAAACAGTGGTGTATATCACTCGACATTACCAGTCGCGATGCTTGTTATGTGCGACAATACGACAAACCAATCAGAACAGCGCGTCCCACTCTCAGCATTGCATTTCTGGTGCAGTGAATAATCTGGTGGATAAGTTAATGGAAGGAACTGAACAGTCGATATTGCTCTGGGAGAGAAAAGCGGCGTAAAACTGAACTCACCCTCTCACTACTGCCTGAAGTTTAAACCAACAAAGGGAGGCAACCACGTTTTGATTTTTGCATTATAGTATCATGATATATAATAATTGTTTTCACGTAAATGGTTGTCTTGACCAATAATTATTCGCCAGAGGGAGTTGTTTCAAAAGGACAATTAAAGATACGAGAGTTGTGCAGGACCGCACTCACAATATTCCAGCTACATGGCAGCGGTCTGTAAATAATCGTGTCTGCTTCAGATTATCCAGTGATCAACAGCGTGAGCATCGGTGACATACGAGTGTCAACCAAATCAGTGAGCCTTGATCCTGTAAGTCGCCTCTGTACGACGACAACCATAGGTTACTGAAGATCAATTCTAACCCGGATCTTCACGGTACTAGTGATGTAACTGAAAACACTGTACGTTTTCATTTACACATGAAGTAAAATAACAATTATACATGCCAAGATATAAGACAAGGTGTCACGAGTGCAATATTTACGTTGGGTCAAAAGCGTGACAATTGTATTCATTTACTTTTTTTACAGATGGTCCAGCAGTATCAGGAGTGGTTATTGCTCCCGTTCCAGGATTCGCTGAATTTTGGTTCGAATTCCAGTTTCGTCCGCTCTTGTCCCCCACATTGGTACAATGTGTGGAACCCATTTCTGGTGTCCCCCGCCGTTATGTTGCTGGAATATTGCTAAAAGCGGTGTAAAACCATATTCACTCACTCACTTCACGATCAATGATGCTTAACGTCACCCGGTTAGTGAGTCTGAACACAGAATGACATTACAACTCCTGAAAACAATCCACTTGATCTAATGGGTATCCGACGCGTTTATAAAACGAAAGTATTTCCAAAAAAAAGAAGTTTATTCCAAACAAATTTCCAAACATTCATCGGAACAAATGTATGTCAACATATAACAAAAAAGATGAATCATCCATAGAATCATTTCAAGGACAAAATTTCAACAAAGTAACAAGCATTTCCTCAAGTTCTTGAAACAACGAAACAATTCCAATTAATGATCTTAATAGGAGCTGTGGTAACACATGTGGTGTTAACGCTGATCATCCCATACCGATACCACAAGATAATTACACACGAATATGTGCCACAATATAAAAAAATCCCTTCAAAATATTATCCTTGATGTTACGGATTTAGGCTACTTGACAGTTTCACCTTTACAACGTTACTTAACAGCCATCATAAAACAACGGTGTTCTCCGGCAATAATGATTTCAATTCACAAAATCATGTCTAAAAGAATAGACGATTAAAAACGAAGAATTTGTATTTGAAAACATTACACATAATGTGTTGACACGGAAGTAAATAGTGGATTCTGGGTCAGGCAAGCCAGTTTTTTTGGTCTATATAACACCTGATCCATGTGTGTGACAAAGTCCTAGCCAGTCATCCTTCGTTGAGGTTCGCCTGCAGTAGGTGATTGGGACATTCTCAATCAGAATCATCAGCAGGTAATGAATATCTTTATGAATACTTTTGCATACAGACATATTTTGGTTCACTGTTTTAATATTTAAATACAACATATCATGAAACATGAAAATGGTTCATTGTATGTCGGAAGCGCTGTAATTGCAAGGTAACTAAACGCTAAACAACTAGAGTAACTATTCAAGAGCATATATTGTACAATTTGCTGCAGCTGAATTACTGTGCATTTTGAAATACTGATATAATGAGTTCGCACTCAGTACATGTATGATGGAACTCGTATATGGACTGGTGGCCGTTTTTCCGGAAACCAAGTATTGACAAATATAAAAGTAATGGTTTCAAGGGAGACGATCAAGCCCATTCGTCCTCGTCCACCACCGTGTGTTCAGCTTTGAACTTCTCAGCTTCTTTAATGGCTTTTTCTTCTGCCGTTGTATCTCAGGAACTTTCTGCCGGAGGCGGAGGTAAGACGGCTTTCATCTCCCTTTCGATCCTCTCTATCCTCCTCTGCACCTTTGTGTCAAACTCCAGCTGCTTCTGAGCAACAATCAACCCAATAGACACTGTGGCGTCCTGTGCCTGTCTTTTCAACTGGGACATCTTTCTTGAGACGGCACCTTTGTCGTTCTCTCTGCACCCAACGCAAGTAGCTCCCCAAGGCTGGCCACTTGATCCATCAAATGCTTCTCAGACACTTCAACATACATCTCTGCCAGGTTGTTCACCATGTACGACAGCTTGTTGGCTTCAGATGCTTGTACATAGATCATGTCCCTCATCATATCGGACATCGTGTACTTTAGACGAAACTCTGCACCTCTTTCAGCGCCCTGGACGAAATTCTTTACATTTTCATCCATACAGCATTTGATGATGTTTGAAATTGTTGTGAAAAATCTCACCAGCTTTCCCCACTGTGTTCGAACCTGTCCGAGAGCTTTGATACCTCTCTGCAGCAACTGTTTTATTTCATCAAAGTTCACCTTGTCAAGGTTTAGGTGTGCAAGTTCTTCAATGACTGATGTCACATGGGCATTAGTTTCCTGCAATGATTTGCTTTTGTTCTTGAAGTCCTCCCTGATTGACTGAAGCGAAGCGGCATTTTGTTCCACCTTGAATCTACATTGTTCACTATATCTTGCTGAAGCTGAACTGGAACTATCCTGCTCTTTCGTAGACATCATGGGTGTTGGTGTTTGCATAGGCTGCTGAAATGCATGAGCACAGAATATCTCCAGTGCTTTCATTCTACCTTCAAGCCTAACTGCTATCATCTTTGCTTCATTTTCTTGTGCCTGTTCCTTGGCCAGCTGCTTGCCAGCAGTCTTCATTATCTTGAGGAGTTGATATCCGTCAGTTTCAATGTCGTTTACTTTCTGCTTACAGACTCCCCGAGTAGGATTTCAAAGCCTTAATAATATCCTGAAAGGTTGACTCGATCATCATGAGTTGATCCACTTCAGTTCCTTGCATAATCTGATCGAAATTTGTTACGAGGGTCTTTACACAAAGCGATAGTCCTGGAAGTTCCATCAGCAGAGTAGCCTTCCTTGTATTCTTCTTTTCTGCCCATTCTTTCCCTTGGAGGATTCCTTTTTGCAGACTTCCTTGTAACAGCATTGGTGACCGATTGGCAGACTCCAAGAGTGCATTTAGCCAGCCCTTCCACGAAGTCCATACCGATCATACTCCAACCAGATGGCATAGAGTCCATGGCTTTTTGATATGATTCTTGGGTCTTTTTAAACTGGTTACGTAATTCATTGTACTCCTCTTCTGCGAGCTTCTTTCTTTCTTCTAATGACTGTAGTCTCAATGTCTTCACCTCATGATCCTTTTCAGCTTTGAGGAGTTTCTCAGAATACTGACCTTCAGCAAATGTGCATGCTTTCTGGAGTTCTCCTATCAAATCCATTACAGTACAAAATCGTGTCTCCACTTCTTCAGCACGTACAACGCAAGTGTCAGTAATTCGTTTAATGTTAGCCAAGTAATCGGGGACGAGGTGGCTCACTTCCATTTCTGATCCATTGACAATGTACTGAAAAAAATCAAACATAGCCATAATGACCGTTATAAATTGAACAGTGAACATGTCCATGAGGAAAGGAGAAAGGTCCGAGTCAGATTGTCAGGGCGAGTCATTGTTTTGAGGAGTTTGTGAGTGGTGACTGAGTTTAGGTTAACGCCGCTTCAGCAATATTTCAGCATTATCACAGCGGGGGACACCAGAAATGGGCTTCACACATTTTGCCCATGTGGGGGGTCTAACCAGGGTGTTCAGCGTTACGATTCCTTAAAGGAGTGTTACTGTCTTGGAGGATTGTAAGGAGAGAGCGTCACTGTCCGTCAATAGTCTTTCAGAGAGCGTGGAGGTTTTGATTGATTGCTTGATTGACTGATTGTTGTTGCGGTCTGTAAATAATCAAGTGATCAACAACATTCATGAGCATCGTACTGAGCAATGTGGATACAATGACATGTCTCAACCAAGTCAGCGAGTCTGACCACCCGATCCCATAAGTCACTTCTTACGACAAGCTGAAGACCAATTCTAACCCGGATCTTCACGTGTGCGTGGGGGTGTCTGAATGAGATTCATGAGACTCATAAAAGGAAGTCCTGTTCAAGAAATCAAAATCCCCAGGAGATTTAGAAGATATTTGATATTTCAAAATACTTACCTTGACAGCGTTCTTGACGTGCTGAGGAATCTGCAGTGTCAGCAGTCGTATCTGATCCATGTTTTTGTTGGCCAGGTTGAAGGCATTCCATCCGTCATCAGCAACTTGCAGAATGCTGGTCCGCAGAGACTCTGGGTACTCAGTGTGTTTGAATCTATCTCTTGTCATATGTTCTGACAAAAGAGACACGTCCTTGTCCAGCGTGACGAGAACCAGTTGTCCTAGGAGACATACTGAGAGAGGGGCTGGGCACAGCATCTCCTGCCAGTTCATGTGGGGCCCGAGGACCAACATCATGTCCTCCTGAAATCAACAACAGGTGCAAGTGGCATCAGACTTGTTTCCTCATGATTTAGTAGTACCCCTTGGGAATTGTTCCAACTGACGCTGGTCGAAATCCTCTATTCGGTTGCTCGGTGAACAAGGTTGATTTTTGAAACCGCTAATTTCTCATTTTAAGCAACCGAATATCTTTTAATAGATTTCATTTATAATAGGAAAGACGTTCTACCTGACATTCATTCTCCGCAGCACGACCTGTTGGGACGCAAGCTGCAGATTTGGTCTGAATCCGATGTCTGTCTCCCAAATAGCAAGACATCCACACTACCTATACATTCCAATACAGCCAGTACCACAACCTTCCTAAAACCACTGTCTTCCTAATGCCACTATTGCTCAGTACCGCTTCTTCCCAAATATCACAATCTCTAATGCCTTTGACATCTCTAAGCACTACTACCTCCCTAATGACATTACCTGTAAAGTCCACTACCTCCCAAATACCCCAAAATTCATAATTCCCATTTTTTCAAATAACATCAACAGTATTTGGAGTGAGTGAGTGAGTGAGTTTTACGCCGCACTCAGCAATATTCCAGCTATATGGCGGCGGTCTGTAAATAATCGGATCTGGACCAGACAATCCAGTGATCAACAGCATGAGCATTGATCTAGGCAATTGGGAAGCGATGACATGTGTCAACCAAATCAGCGAGCCTAACCACGTGCACCCGATCCCGTTAGTCGCCTCTTACGACAAGCATGGGTTACTGAAGATCAATATTCTAACCCGGACCTTCACGGGTCCCTTTTGTCATGAAAGCATATTTATTAGATTCATTTGCTGTTAATTCAAAACACCGGGTTTTTGAGCTTGTTTTAACCAAGTGGGGTTTCCGGGTCAGAAAGGTATTTTTTAGTAACCTATGTCTCAAAGGGATTCGAGTGTCAGACTCGACCACATGGTTAAATGCTCAAGATATATTTTGAGGTTAAGGAATCGGAATTTTCTATATCCAGTTAGGCAAAGTTGTGTTTAGGTCCCATATTTTTGTCAATGTCCATAAACCAGTAACGGCCAAATATTGAACCAAATGGTGGAAAATCTTATTTTTGTTGTATGTAGTTTGTTTGCAGATAGTGTTTTAAGTTTACAACACAATTAGATACATTACATTACAACAGTTTGTAAAATATTGGGTTTGAGCATAAATTTTGATAAGACAGAAATATTTGTCTTATGTGCTTCCAAAATTGGGGGTATCGAAACTGGGCACAATTAGAAACGTTTTATATCAGATTTTGCAAATGTACACTTGGTGTTAGGTATGAATATTCAAATGCCACTACACCAGCAGAGTGTGGAAGATGCTCTGTTTAGAGTGAGTTAGTGTATCGAGTTATTGTGCAATGCCTAAATCGGAAATGCAATGTCACCGATGCACTAAACAATGTTATACAATGCTATGTAATTTTATTTAAGTTCGCCATGTACTATGGCTATGTAAAGAACGCTCCGAGCTCAAATGGTTTTCTTTTTTAACGGAAAACCCAAGACACATTTATGTCATTTATTGAAAATACGAGATTGTAATATTTAATCATTTTTTCTGATATCCATAATAGGACATATCTTGACTTAAAGACCCTTTGAACTGGACTTTTTAAAATAATATTTTAGTCTTAAGATAGTAGGAAAAAACCACCGTACTAAAACATGTTGCACTCATAATAATAAGAACATTCAATTTGGTAGACGGGAGGTATCCTAGCCATGTAACAATAAGTGAACATTACTTTACAAAGACCCGTTGCACTTCATATTGAGAAAAGTGGTAGACGGGAAGGTACACCTCGTCATTCAAGAATATCTAAAAATTGTAACAAGACTATGGAAGATGATTTTAATTTTCGTACACGTCCTACACGTGCTGATATACGCTATGAAATATTCAAAGATACACAGCCGCATGTTAATAGGGGCTGCCTAATACAAATTTTGAAACCTTGAAATACAAATGTTTTGTTAAACATAAACAAATACATATAGTATGCAATGACTGTGATCTTCTGATTCTGGTATAAAACATAAAAAAACAAACAAAATTCCTTTACCTTAATGTCCTTTGGACTCATCAGCTCTTTCTCTGCCTTGGCAATCGTCTTCTTGCTCACCTCCGCCATGATGCAGCAATCACGTCGCTGTAAGCCCTTAATTAGAATCACAACAATTTTTTTAAAGGAAAGCCCCAACAACAACAACCCACAAACATGTACTAAATCAAAAAACAAAGAAAGGTTTGTACAGTGAATTCGGCAGTGCTTCACAGGTCCGAAAACACATCATCTGACCTTGAATACATACATTCGACTGATTTGAGATGTATAAATAGCTGTAATGTATGTTTAGTTTTGATAAGCTCATGAACGTGAACTTCGTGTGAACACTGCCTAATATGCAGCAATGATTGGAGGATATGGCAACGAGGCTATGACACAACCTTGAGCTGCCATTTGTGTAAACTGAAAGCCAATTGGTCTGAATATACGCTAAGACTCACTGTAACCAAACCGTGGTTTGATTCGTTGGATAAAAATAGCGACTTCAATACGGTACATTTCGTACTAAATGCCAGATTTAGCATGACTCAGCCCCGACATTTAGCGGAAGCTTGCAAGCTATATGTATTTGCTTTAAAAGGAGTATATACTTTTAAAATGAAATATATATGTTTGCTCCCGTAATACTGGAAAATATATTTCACCTCATATTCACTTGCAGACTGGTATTCGTATTATATAGTCGGTAATATTTATTTGTTCGGCTCGTACCCTGTGAAACTGGTCATTTATCGTACGAAAATCCCTCCTATGCCCCTTTTCCCTAAAGCTTCCATTTTCATGTTAGTTATATTTGCGTCTTCATATTTTACTTGACTTGGCTGTTCCAACAATTGTTCACTTATGTCTGCGACAACCAAGTTAAAACTTCTCCTTGTGGAATATATTTCTGTGTTCAAGTCGTTGTATCCTTGGTGGTGATCTTTCACAAACAACTTGCACTTTTAGGACGCTTCAGTGAGTGAGTGAGTGAGTGTGATTTTATACCGCTTTTAGCAATATTCAAGCAATATCAAGGCGGGGTACACCAAAACTGGGCTTTACGCATTGTACCCATGTTGGGAATCGAAACCGTGTCTTCAGCGTGACGAGCGAACGCTTTAACCACTAGGCTACCCACCGCCCCTTATGACGCTTGAATCGTGCGCTTAAGGAAGACACTTTAATATCTATCATATACTATCTAAGCATTATTCAGGTTAATGTCAGTGTCATATACGTGTCCGAGAGATCTAATACAAAAGATAAAATACAAAACTGAAAATCTCTAGTTAATGCAATCATGCATTATATGCTGTTTGGACGACAAAGTATAGTTAACATCCTGAAGAGAAATCAACACTATCATCTTCAAGATGGTAAAACGTGACATGGCATCGAAATAATCATTTAACTGCCAATTTAATTGCTTTTTCCGCTTAAATCATAACCGTCATCTGCAGGATGTGCTTGTGCCAGTCAAGGTGATGTTGAACTCACACACTCTTGTACCAACCATACATTGCGTATTACTGGTATCTTAGACATCTTGAGACCCATGTTATAAGTCGATAATGAAAAAAAGACTGCATAGAATTTTGGAATTGACATGAAGGAATGCAACAAATACTCAAAAGTCAGACTTTTTTCTAAAAACAGTTTAATAACTTCTTTATTTTCTGGATATATGAATTCAGTGATATGGCGACAATAATTTTGGTAAAAAGTCAATTTCGTCAACCACCTCTCAAAGAGAAAACTTATTCAGGCAGGAACAGTAATATATAATAGGTCCTCCTTAAACAGGCTGAACATTACACGCTGCCTATTTGTCAGTTGCCAAACATACACTGACATGATCTCCATGAAACTATTCTCAATCCTTTCCAAAGAAATCCTGCTGAACATTCATAAGCTATTACTTTAACAACTTGAGTTTCCCTTCTAGGCAACAATTACAGAGACATAAATTGTGGAAAATTGTCAAGGTGTCATGTCTGTTTTCAACACCATCCACCGTCGTCATCTTGACAAATGGCTTGAAATACAGGACGAGAAAGTACCTTCTTCCAGAGGTCGGGTTGGGTAATAAACTCCTCAAAACTGTCAAACAAACTTTTAAGAGGAATCCCAATCTCCGCTATATCATGCATGATGGATGTGGCATCTTTCAGTACTTCTGCTCGTCCTGAGACTTTCCCCAGACGAGTCATGACCTTCCTCAATGCTGTGAGGGTTCTGTTTTGTTCGTTTATGTCATTCCTGTTTGTAGAAATATTCTTTCGAGTCACCCTCATTTCTTCTTCCATTTTGGTCTTTTCCTTTTCACGTCTCTTGATATCGCCTTGAATATTTCTTCGTTCTGTTTTCATCTGACTAAGGGAGTTTTCAGCACTGGATAAGTCCGACTTAGTGGAGTCAAGGGAATGTTCTGCATTATCAACGCTTTCTTTGAGTGCCGTTTCAGAAACTGCCAACAGCGTTGTCCCGACAAAAGGTATCCATATCGTTGCCAATCCTGCTAGTCTAACCCCGTCTCTAGTCGACCTGGCACTTTCGTAGTCAGATCGAGCCTTTTCCACACGTTCCTCACAATTGTCCACATCTGCTTGGGCGCATGCAACCTTCTCTCTTTGCTCTTCGAGTCTTTTTGACAAAGATGCCAATGAATCAGTCAAGCATGCCAGAGACTGAACTATTTCTTGGTGTCTCCTCTCCATGTTTGATAGTTCCGCTTCCTCTCCCCTGCACTTTCTGGTTTGACGACGGATATGGTCTTCTAACTCACTTTCAGCCTTTGAAAATGCTGCATATGCATTTTCCGCGTATCGTTTGATATTGTGATTCCCAACATGTAGTGCAGTCATTAGCTTGTCAATTAACTGGAGGCCAGTCTGGAATTGGGATACCACCAAACTTGGCAAATGTCGCTCAGATCCTCCAAATGATACCATCGCCATCTCCTGCAAAGGAGGAGCGGGATGAAGTTTCAGTTGTGATTTACAAATAGTTCTCAAACAACTCGAACACATACAACACTTATGAGTGCCTGATGAATTTCAGTGATGCTGTTGGTTCATTGTGCCCAGGACATAATTGTAATGAGTGTCACTTGGTTACCCTATGGAGCTGGTTGGTGTTCGCCTCATTCCCCATGTTGAAGGCTGTTATATTATGCTCACCGGTGTTACATGACCGTAATGCTATAAAAAAGTGACTAAATACGTTTTCAAGTACATTCAGTATATTGTTTGAAAACCCTGACGACATTTGACCACTTTCTAAATGGCTCTGTGTAATCATACCCTCACTACAATTAATATTTTCGAGCAGTTTAGGGACAAATTCAGGTTTGTTTTAAATCCCATCCCTACCCTCCCGAGAATATCGATTCGTTACTGCAATTTAAAGCAGAGCTCGGATTTATCGTAACACTGATGTTTTATTAAACCTTCAGACTATATAAAGACAGTTTGAGCGGCTATTGGCTGCATCTTTGATGTGCAGAGAGTGATCCGCCATAGATGCTTTGTTTCGGAAGTGACGTCATCATCTTTATCTCTCGGTCCTCTCGCTCAGTGTAATTTGGACGGTGTACATTAGACTTGCATTACTTGAAACACAACTGTGGTTGGTTTTGCTCCGGGAACTTTGCCACAATGGAATGAGATGAGTCACTACGAGTAATCACGGTTGATGCGAGGGAGCGAAAGAATAATCTTCACAACCATGTATATATCGACAGTCTTTGGTTATCTTATGGTTGGTATTTTCAAATTTCACGCATCAGTGACAGAACATGATGTCCGATGAAATTCATGTTCCTGTTTCATGAATATGTTCTTACAGGTGTTTACAGGTATGTCTTTACAGCTGAATCATTGCATACATCCATCGTTAGTGTTCATATTTAACTAAAAATATATAGAGATATTCTAAGAACTTGTTATTAACATTGTACTCACCTAAATCAGTAGTAACTTTCCACATATAGCTTGATACTGAATAAAATGTGGTTGGAATTTATTGCGTATGGTAAGTATGTTCTTTGATAATTTAATGTAATTAATTTTGAAATATTCGTATATTTTTACTGCTATCGTAGTCGTGTACTTTGTGTTTCTTCGTAACACATACGTTAAAATCGTGTGGGTTGGCATCTCTGTCATTGCCCTGCCTCAGCATGTGTGCCATTGATGCCGCTCACGTTTTTCTAGTGTCATCACTTATGAACGAATCTGACCCGTGAATAGGTCTTCAGCAAACCATGTGCTTGCCATAAAAGGCGACTATGCTTGTCGTAAGAGGCGACTAACGGGATTGGGTGGTCAGTTTCGCTTACTTGGTTGACACATGTCATCGGTTCCAAATTGCGCAGATCGATGCTCATGCTGTTGACCACTGGATTGTCTGGTCCAGACTCGATTATTTACAGACCGCCGCCATATAGCTGGGATATTGCTGAGTGCGGCGTAAAACTAAACTCACTCACTCACTCACTATGAACGAATCTGGGACAGGCAAACCACTTTCCGATAGTATGAGCAATGCATGACGAGGTAAAATGACATACAATCATTGACACTGTACACCGCATCCACCTGATCCCAGTTACATTCTGTACTTCTCTCGGTACTTTGACGAACCCCACACATTTCACATCTCTTATACACGAGCAGCAGGTATAGGTAGTCGCTGGGGTGAGCGACTTTCATGCAATTTTCTCAAGTTTCCAAGACCTATAACACATCAGCATATAACACTTCCTGCCCTTGGCGTGCAACAAGATACGTTTTCAAGATGCAAACAGACTATAAGTCATAGGATTTTGTAACAGAGGGACAGCAGTAACTGACAACGAATAACACAACTTTTTACATTGACCTGGGGCACCTTGTATCAATGCTTTGTTTCAAACATGGAACTTCACCGGTGACTTTTTGTGCAAATACTTTCCAAAGAAGAGCTAAAAAGTAGTAAAGGTTCGATAATTCAAGACAATCGAGAATGACTACAAACACTTGATTCAAACGTCGAGAGTCACAATCACCTGACCGGGGCCTTTGACATTTGTATGGCATGTGCAGGAAGAATTTCTCAAGTCCATACTG